CCGTCAGCGGAAGAAGTTGACGACAGCCTAGTTAGTTTTCCGCTTGTCTCCAGTGCGTACAACCAGATCGACACTTTTTAGCAGACTGTCCAAATTTTTTATGAAAATAGCATAGGCTTGAATTACCTGTTTCACTTCGAGGGGAGTGGTTCGAATTAAGTTTGAGCTTTTTAAGCCCCGCCTGCATATAATTTATTTTACTATTCAGAGAGTTGAGCGTAACATTGATATCCGATAGTTTCGGTTTATCTTGAGAAGATGATGGCTTAACAGCAACAACGGTATCGGCTTCCGCGGCACCTTCTACAACCCATACAGAATTTCGTGCATTTTTTAGCGACTCTAACTTATATAAGTTCTCTCCCGATAGGGCTAGAGTTGGGCGAATTGACGCTGGCATATGACGAAGGAAAAGCATACGAATAAGATGTTGTTGTTGTAGCAGCATACAAGTTCCCCAAAGGATTTTTGGGGAGTGTTGCTGGAGTGACAGTCCTTGGCCAGATATAAATCTGGGTCGTTCCGGTTACGTAGACCCGACTGTCGTGGGAACGAATAAGATCGCTATAACTGCTTTCTGCTGCCAAGCGTTGCATCTGTGCCATCATGTCAGATGGTATAAGGCATTGCCTTGTAAAAGTTTGTTAAGTTTTGTGTCTTGCGAATCGGTAAATTTGTTTAATATTCGCTGCTTGAGTGTGGCGTACTTATTACTTTAAGGAGGTTGCAAAATGATTAGGGCGTCATCTTCTAAGTGAATTGATGTTATATGAAATTTGTCATCGTCAGTTGAAATATTGTTAAGTCGGAAGGCGCGTTCCAGTTGGGCGAACCAAACATGTGGGTCGGACCTGTTGATCGAAGGAATAGATAGGTTTTTCGTGCCCACGTTGGTACTGGAGAATTGCCGATACGACTATATTCCGCCTGCAAGTCGTTTAGCTGTTTTCTTATGTTCTCTAACTCCGACATATTAATATCTTTTCATTTCGAGCGCAGGTTGTATTCCGTTGTTGGCATTTAATGAATCGGAGTCATCAATATGGAAAATGTCCAAACACGTGTTGTGTGATTAATCCATTTACAAAACTTAAGCTAGGTTACAAAGCAATACAGAAAATAGTTGCGTTCGACAATTCAAAAATTTGTAATCGTTTTTTTCAAATTTTTACTGGATGGCGTTCGATAACGACAAAAAATTATCCAACACACAAAAATTGAGACAGCAAGCATTCATTTTGATGCAAGAGAAGCGTTCATTTTGGTAGTAGTGCACTTTAGCGAAAGTAGGTCAAAATGGACGGAAGTTCGAGAGTGGTATCAATCGACGCGTCTTAACATAATAATAACAATCCGAGACCGGAAATTAACACTTTTAATTCACTAAAGAGTTATTTGCAAAAAACACTTGTACTTTCCGCACTATGTTTTGATGAATTTCACGCAAATGAATGGAATAAATGAACTCAATTTAACACGTATTTATTAGTTTTTATACATTTGTCATGTTTTAAGTGTACACTTTCGCGAAACTCTGTATTTAATAGCAATATTGCGATGGTGAAAATCCGCACAACAATCTTGTGTAGTTATAGTAAAGGCGTAAACTCCTCGTTTGTGTCCAATACATTAACAAATAATTTAACCGTTTTATTATTTACCCCGACATCTACCTCAATTTTCCCTACTGTATGTATGTGATCACCAGATATTAACTTCATTTTTCTTCTGTCTGTTCTCAACGGATAATTCTCAAAAAACATTTTATAATGACGTTTACCTATAACCGTCTCACTTGCGCCTGTATCTATCTCAAATTCAATTATTTCACCATTTATATTCAACTTCACCTTGTGTGGCCTTATGTTTTCTACTGTTTTACAATTATTCAAAAATCTACATTCATATTCGGAAGTCTCTTCATCACTGCTCTCCCTTTCATAATCTGCTCCTAAATTATGCACGTTGCCTTTTTTAGATTTTCTGCAGTTTCTCTGTATATGGCCAAACGCCCCGCATGCATAACATTTTATCCTCCGCTTTTGCTGTTGTTCTTCCTGTTTATCGTTATTTTTGCTTTTCCTCTCATTTCTTCCATTCCTTTGGTGACTATTTATTCTGCTGCTGGTTGATGGTCGAAATTTCGATTCCTTCGTTCCGTTCCGGTTTTCATGCAAAGAATATACTTGACTCTCTGTCTGCTTCATCACCACTAAGCTTTTATTGGTCATTTCCATTGCTGATGCGATTGCTATTGCTTTATCAAACAATTTAAGTTCTGTGTCGTTCAGCAGACGATTTTGAATTTTCTCATCACCTATTCCACAAACGAACTGGATCAGCAACGCTTTATCTTGGAAAGGTCCAAACTCGCAGTGCTGAGCGATCTGTTTCAATTCCACAACATACTCTTGCAGCGGCTCTCCTGTCCTTTGTGACCTTTTAAAGAATTTGAAGCACTCGGCCATCACGTTTTTTTTCGGCATAAAATGTTTTGATAGACTTTCAATTAGGTCGTCATATCTTATTGAAGGATCGGTTTCGGTCCTGGGGGCAATTAAGTTTACCAAAACTTTATAGAGATCCGGCCCCCCAAGACTCACTAGAAACGAAATTTTTGCACTATTTTCCACAATATTATTAAGAGTCAAAAGGTGGTTGACTCTTCTAACATATAGCGAAAAATCTTCGCCCAATACGTAAAATTCAATTGTTCCGACGAAAACTTTGTATGACATTGTCTTTTGTTCAATTTTAATATGCTTTTATTAATATTAAATTAACATTGACAGTCAATACTTAAGCCACTAACTTTTATATTTTCACACGTGGTCTTTTTCCTTATTTCTCGTCGCCAGTAATATGTATGCGGTATCAAAACCCAACGAGTGCTTGTGATCGACTGAGTTTATTGAAAACCGTAAATTACATTGACACTTAAAACTACTAGACTTAATACTAATGTTGTATGTTGCAGGGTTGCCATATAAATACATATCACTATCCAAACGAACATTCAATGTTACTCCTTCACTGCTCCGAATTATCAAACTATGCAACAAGTACAACTTGGAAGTAAAACCACATAGACTACGAAGTTACAACCCACCGTGGACTCTTGACAGCCAATGTTGCGATATAACACTACACACCCACAAAAAAGATAACACCCCAAATTCAATATTCAAACAAATCTTCCTCGAAAAGGCGAACACTTACAATAAGAGCGGCTGGCAAATTATCTTTACTGATGGGTCTAAAACACAAAATAGCGTTGCTTTCAGTATAACATCGGAAACAGGCTCCTGTATTAGCATGAAAGCAATGTTCCCTTTCTCTTCAGTCTTCTCGGCAGAAGCAGCAGCTATACACGAAGCTATAGTATTTTCCCTTCACAAAAAAACAAAAACTGTGATATGTTCAGACAGTCTATCGGTGTTACAAGCAGTTAGAAATCCAATCTGTAACAATTGGGAAACAATAAATCAAATAAGAGATATGTTAATAAAAAACAAGAAAACGCTTAAGCTCCTATGGATTCCAGGACACGCAGAAATTGACGGTAACACCTACGCCGATGAAGCTGCAAAATTTGCTTGCAATGCACCAATAATACGCTCCCCAAAAATCGAAAAGCTTGACATAAAACGCCATATCAAAACGCTTATAATACACGAAACACGCCAACTGCGTAGCAGCCACAAACATTATCACTATACTAACATTAACAAAGATGGAACTCCTCCACAATACCCAACAAATATACATGGTTTCAAAACCAGAATCTTTTCACGAGTGCGTCTCGGACACACCACACAAACCCACGAATATATCTTGAAAAAGGAAAATCAACCAATCTGCATCACCTGTAACACAATCCAAACATTAGACCACATCCTCAACAATTGCCAAAAATACTACAACACAAAAAAAGCAATATTTAACACAGAGAATATAAACGACGTCCTAGCTACCCCTAGCTTTGCTAATATTGAAAATATCGCCAAATTTATCAAAGATATAGAAATGACAATCTAATAAACACAACCTTAAACAACAGTCAATTCAGAACTGATGGTCTCGGCAGCCAATGCTCAAATAGATCATTTAGTGCTGGTATTCATACCAGCATCTAAATAATAATAATAATAATAA